TCCATCCATGCTTCCATCCATGCTTCCATCCATGCTTCCATCCATGCTTCCATCCATGCATCCATCCATGCTTCCATCCATTTTTCAAGGGCGGATCCAGCCAAAATTTTAGGGGGGGGCTAATTGAGCTTTTTCCGTCAACACAACGGACAACAATTAAAATAAGCATCTAATTCTTCAGTTTTGTTTTGTTTTGGTTTTTTCCCCCTGCTGGATCCCTGGATCCGCCCTTGATGCATCTATCTATCTATGCTTCTATCCATGCTTATATCCTTGGTTTAAAGACTCTAGTCTAAACATCTTCATGAAGTGGAAACTGAAATCAAAAGATTGTGGTTTCTAAACAATATATGCATAAATGAATAACATAGTAACTTGATATTTGATACTCTAGTCGTTATCTCTCCTATGAATGATAACACGTGCAGTCCATTGAATATTAACACAGATCACAAAATCATTTTGCAAGCGTATGCTTTTTTTGTTCTCAAATACGTTACTATAAACCTGCCTTGTATCTTGTTCTGTTATTTCAGGATTGGACTTCCTTAGTCAAATAAAGATGCAAGTTCTTTAGTCAAACAAAGATGCGAGCGAGTCACTGAATAGAGGAGCTATGAAGAATATGAAGTCATCTATTTATCCCGACGACAGAACAATAAATCTGGCAAGTCATGCACATATTTAAAGAGAATATAAATTACTTTTCTGCTAAGTGTCAGTGGGACTGCGTAAGGGGTGTCCTTCATAAGTTCGCATTCTTAATGTATTTCGGTCTACCATTTAATTCCCCTTCTTGGTATCTAGAAGTTAACCATTCTATTCTCATTCTATAAGGTTATCTTTTTCTACCATTTATTTCTCATTTTTCCTGTTTAACTTTCTATCCCTTTATTTCTAATTCTCTGTATCTATCAGTCAACTATTCAATTGTCATTCATTTATTTTCTATTGCATTTCACTCTTATTCTTTTCCATTCCATTCTATTCTGTTCTCATTTCCCTTTTTATTTGTTGTCAGTTCTTTAAGCAGGCACCCTGATTATGAGATATGTATTACTGAGTAAATTAATATTTTGTTACTCTGTTGATTTTTCTCTGCAGGTGGTCTTCAAGATGACAGACTAAAAGATAAAGAAACGAACGAACGAACGAACGAAC